GCCTTTTCTCAGCTGGTTGTTCCTCAGACCTCCACAAACTCTTTCCCTTTTGTCCTTTAACTGCATCAGCATAAGTTTTCCCTTGTACAATTGAGTTTGAGTTCAAAAATCTCCTGATCATCTTAGGCTCAGTCTCCTCCACTGGGTATTCAGCTAAATTAACCCATATTTTATGGCCTCCTATGCGGATCTTATCAAGTTGGTTCTCCATGGCCCGCGAATTCTATACATCCAAGAACCTAACAAACCCAAATCTCTTCCCATTTCTATTCCTTCTTTAAGGGCTGTAGATAGCATACATTCTACCAAATTTTCCTAAAGTCCTCCACATTTCTGAATAGCTCCAGTCATTGAGGAAATTGGTAAAGAAGAAAGCCGTAGCCTGCTTATACAATCCCTTGTCATATCCCCACTCTACATTCCTCTGCTGCCGTCTACTCTGTCCATCCTGCTTTGTATCCTTCGTCCCCCACTGTCGCATATTACCTCTTGGTTGGTCATACTCTCTGTTCAGTGCTTTCCGTCTTACCCATAGTTGCTATCCGGTGCCTGCATCCCTGCCTCTCTCTCTTTTTTTCTCTCATACTCTCAACTGCGGTGGTGTCAGAATCCCCTTAGATTTCACCTTATTTCTTCAAAAAATTCTTGAACCACTGGGCTGAGAGTTTAGGGTATCTTTTAGCCTTGCTTAGATTCTGATTATCGTCACTGTTACCTTAGTCAACTGATGGGAATCACCATCATCAACCCTCTTGGTAATTGAATGATATGAACATAAAATGGAAATCACCGGCTCCAGTCCGCTGCAAGCATGGACTGGATCGCATAAATAAGCCTCCACTTTGTATGCAAGCAAAACGTTGAGAATTTTTGATGCTTTGAGCAAGTCCATGATTAATCGCAATCTCGCCAAGCATGAAAATAAAGGGCCTGGGAACAAATCAAAAAGGAAAATAGAACAAAAAGAGTGGATTAAGGATGGATATATTAGGAGAAAAGACTAAATAGAGAAACTTCCAAAGCTTAGAGAGAAATTTCGGTGGAAGAAAATACAACCTTAATCACAATAGTTAGTTCGTTTTGATAAAAAAAAAGGAGAGCAATGAAATAATTTAATTGGTTATAATAATTTTTTCTGAGATAGTGATTGGTACACACTGCAGTTCAACATATTACATGACATACTCATTAAAAAATCACTATTTTTAATTTGAAATTAAAGACAGACAAATTTAATGATACAATCATGCACATAGGATATAGAAACCGATTGAATTGGCTGTATTTATATTATATTTTTAATAACTAAACTGAAAGTGTGTTAAAAAATGTGTTAACTTGAAGGGTTTACCAATCATTTTCCTTTTTCTTTTCTTCTCTCAAACAGATTGTGAGCAGCGCCCAGAAATAACAGTTAGTGACATTCACTGAGAATGTAGCGTTTTACTGTTCATAGATTAATTACTTTACCACTCATAAAAATTGGAAAAATATACAAATGTTTTACTATTTGGGTGCCTAAGGATAAGTGGCACATACAGTTTTAATTTTTTAATTATGAAAATCTTACAACGTTCGTATGGTATCAATTGATAGGCAGCTTTTCTTTGGACAAAATATTTTGGATAAGAAAATATTATGACAAAAAAAGAAAAAAAAAAAAACTTAATTAGGTCAAACATTTGCCCGAAATATGTTCTAGTTTAATTAAAATGTATTTAACATAATAATTTGGTTTAAAATTATTTTAGTCAAATATATTGATCAAAATAAAAGAGTACCAATTGACACCATTATTAATTCAGTCAGATATTTTGTCTGAATTATATTAATAATAAAATATTAAGCATTTTCGTCATGAATTTTGATCGAATTAATTAAGTATTTTTTGTTTTAATTTAGTTATTTTTTTTGTCAAAAGTTTTGAGCAAAATAACTGTTTCTTTTTTTAAGCTTTAATAAAACTATTTCAGATAAGATGTTTGACCAGAAACATATTGTTTTATCTCTAAGAATTAAGTTAAAAAAAATTATTGTCCATTTCTTTTTCTTTTTTTTTTTTGCTCTAAAATCATGTACAATGTCTTGAATTTTTAACTAAAACTATTTCAATTAAAATTCTTAACCGAAATAGTTTAAGTTCTATAAAAACACTTTAGGCACTCCAAAGTGTATTTTACCCATTTCCTTCATTCTGCTTTCCACACTCATCTTTCTCATCTTTCTCATCTTTTTTTTCCTTTTAATTACTTTCCCCTCCTCATTTCTCTTTAATTCCATTATTTTCTTTCATTTCTTCCGTTTTCTCATCTTCTCTTTTCTTCACTTCCCTTTTCTTTCATTCATTCCCCTCATCATCTCTTCCATTTTCTTACATTCTCTTTTCCTTATACATTCCTTCATGTAATTTCATCTCCTTTAATTTCTTTCATTTTCTATTTTCCTTTAATTTTAATCTTATTAGTTTATCTCTTTTACAATTTACAAGTTTGTTTCAATTAATATTGGTATGAATTTTATTTTTTGTAGGATTTTATAATAGAAATTAAAGGCATTTTAAGGAGGCATCTCATTTGGTATTTTTTATTTTTTTATTTTTTTTATTTCATTAAAATTTTATAATGTTTTCTTTTTCATTAAGTTTCTCATTTAGTTTGTAATTTGTGATTAACTCTTTCTTGGTGTTAAGGGATGGAGAAACTATAAAAAAGAAAAGTTAGTAATTAAATCTTTACCATTTAGCTTAAATTTAAATATTTTCATAGAATTTTGATTTTTTTTTATATAATATTCACTTTAAAATTGTGATGTATTTGAATTTGGATAAAATAAAAGATTTTTAAATATTAATTAAATGTATTTTGTAATTATATAAAAATAGTAATTATATGTATACTATAATTACACAAATAGATTAATTTCTTTTGAATTTGAAAATAATACTTCAGCCAAATATTTTGACCAAATTAGTCTAAAATAGAAGATTTTGTACTAATATTTTCAGTCAAAATTTTTTACTGAATTAGTCTAAAATAAAAAATTTTGTAATAACATTTTCAGTCAAATTTTTTTACTAAAATTGTCCAATATTTTCAATCAAGATGAAATTTTATCTAAATTATTATTTTATACAGTAGATATTTAAATCAATGATTCGATCAAGTAATTTGACCAAATTGTTTCTTTTTCAATCAAAATTCTTACTTATTGGGTCAAAATATCTTTATTTCTAGTAGTGAGACATATATAATATCATGTATCTAATTTAAATTTAAAGTATTGTAAGATTTCATTATAAAAAAACATTATTAATTAATTCTGTTGTATATATTCCAAAACATTAAACTATTTAAGAATTTATTAAATGAGACAACTTGCAGCAATCTTATTCATTTTGCCAATATATGACACTGGTGATAATTCTAGTTGTTCATTCCGTTGGCTTTTTTTTTTTTCTCTACAAATAAGCAAAGTATCCTGAAATCAATTAATGGAAGCAATTGCTAAAGAATCATTTATTAAAAGGAGGTCAAAATTAAAGACCATGATAATTTTGTTTAACGAGCTTGTGCATTGCTTTGGTATGAGAGCTTACTTTGTACATAATGTTGTCGAATGCTAATAAGAAATCTGTTTCTTCCTCAATTTTTCTCTTATTACTCTTTCAATTATTATATTCTTCCTCCCTTTCTTCTTCTCTTCTCATCTAGATCTATTTATATTCTCCTCTGTTTTTTCAATTTATGTTTGTATGGTAAGCTGCTGCTCATACGTGTTGTGTAAGAAGATAGAAAGAGAAATTCGAGCTGTGTCATGTCGTCCACTCTCGATTCTTGGGAAAGAAAGTTTGTTAACAAGAAATACAAGTTAATGATTGCATTACTCTCATCAAGTTGGGGTTACTCACCTTTCCTTACAAGACATCTGGTTACAGGACACAATCATTGCTGGTACTGTTCAGCAACAACCCTGAGAACAAGGTTGCTTAAGAAGTGGGCACATGATACGTCCTTCGTAGAATTGGAATTGCTGTTGGAGTCTTGTACTTTAGGCTTATCAAGGTTGTACATGGTTTTGGTAGAAGAGGCTATTTTGTACATTGAATGTTGACGAGATTCTGTTTCACCATTTATTTTTCCCTCTCGTCTCCATCTCACTTCGTCCGTTCTTCCTCCCTTCCTTTTTTTTTCTCTTTTCTCATTGCTAAAGAGTAAAAATTGAATCATAGATTTGTAATTAAAAATATAAAAACTCTATCATCACATTATATGATTGATAATTCCTGCTCCCTTCCTTTGTCTTACCTTGATCTATTTGGTTTTCCTCTCTTTCTCCAATGGGTTTGTCCAAGTTTTAGGATACAATAACTATATTTTTTAATTAATTTATAAGTTTTTCTATCTTATATTTTTAGATTACAAGTTAAGATTATATTTATTATATATTTTTATAATTAATTTACATAAAAATATAAATATTGATTTTAATTTAATCAATTGGTTAATCAAATCATGAGATCATAGTGTCAAAATAAAGATCAATTTTTGTATTTTTGATATAAATTAATTGTAACAAAAGTATTTATTACACTTTGAAAGTAAAGATTAGATAAATTATTAATTTATATAAAAAAATATATCAAAATTAATATTAATTTTAACATCAATGTGACTATTTATATTTTCTATATAAATTAATTATAAAAAGATCCATCTACTGAGCCTTAAATTAGAAAACCAAATACAATGAAAGAAAGCATATTCGAATTGGATTTCATGGAATTAAATATACTGCATTCTTTGCTGTGATTCTATCCTTCAGTGCAACACCACTTGTTCTATATTGCATCTTGGAGATTAGATCCGTGATCTGTGGTAAGTCATCCAAAGGCCACAATAAAAATTAAAAGTAGCAAACCTGTAGAAATTTTGATAAGCAGCAGCGGAGAAAAATGAAGAAGAATAAAGGGGAGAAGAAAGGAAAACCTTTCATCTGAGAGACATGAAGTGCATTCATGTCCACAGTCAAATTATATGCAAATGGAGTAAAAAAAATGCCAAAAACAACACTGCAATGCTAACACAGAGCAAGTAATAGTTGCCTTCTCAAGGTTTCCACAAGATGGTTGTCTCTGCAATCATGGAGGCCACGACAAAGGGATCCATGTTGGCAGCAGGCCTCCTGTCCTCGAAGTATCCTTTCCCTCTCTTTTCTGTCTCTCTTCCAACTCTAATAGACACCCTGTGGTTGGCAACTCCCTACAAGGCAGAGCATAGATACTTAGATGCAAGCATCTTGCTAAATTTCCAAAGAACACTTTATTATGGTATTTAATCGGCAATAGTAACCCACATTATGTATGGACCTAGATAACTCGTGGCAGAGACACATACACAAGGAAAGAAGAGATCAATATCCATGAGAGTGTGTTGATGTCAGCAGCTTCATGCCTTCCTGTCAGACGACGTTCATTGCCTTCCTCATAAGCAACGATATGCTCCTTGTGCCACAATCAAAGATTTTCAATTATTTTTCTGATTACTTCATAGCCACCATCATTTCTCATGAATTTGGTGCTGAAATTTAACAAGATTGGTTAGATATATATCGCCACAAGGGATGTGCCAATTGGTAAGAGCTTGAGACTCTAAGTTAGAAATCTCATGTTCAAATCGTGAGATAAATGAAAAAGAATTTAGGAAGTGAAAAAGTTATTTTTTGTTGTATAGCTCATCATCAAATTCAAATGTACCAAAAAGCAAAAGAAAAGGCTTGGTTAGGTATATTCTCTAAGGAGATAACAAAAATGCAATCACCTAAAGAGGGGAGCTATGTCTTTTTCTTATTTTATTATTTAAGTTGGTGTTGCCTGTAGTTTGTATGAGCAGCAGTCCCATTCTAATCACCCTAGTTAGACAGTGTATCAAAAATAGTTAGTAAACAAGGTTGAACTGTATACAGAAGCAATAGAATGGTTGACACTTAGGATTTTATACCCATTAAACCAAAATCCAACATACTGGAAGATTAGTTTAAATCTAACCTGGACAGGTTTTGGATCAAAAGAGAGATCAACTCCAGCAGTCTCAGTAATCCTCTGCAGACACAAAATTAAAGGCTCCTACTTTTCAGCTCACAAATGATACAGAATGAGCGATCAAATCTCAAATTTTGATATATTAGTTTACATTACCGCTAGAATGTAACGACCCACCCACAACTCACCCCCAGTGGTGATGCCAACAACTGGTCCAACTTGGAATTCCCACTAGGATATGAACAAATTGGAATATGGAATAAAGGTAAACAAAGAACAAGAATTATAAGCAACAGTAACCTCTGCAGAAGAAAATACCGAAACATTATATTGATAAAAGCTCAACAACTACAAATAATACCTGTCCAGGCATCACTTCAGCATTGATACCAGTAATGTTAATTCCAGCGTAAAGACAGGCTTTATAGTGGGAGTTCACAGCGTCACGTCCACCGGCCTTACCAGTGCCAACAACACAGTAGTATGGGCCCTGTCCATCAAGACAAAATTTTCCAGTTAGCAGTCATGTACACTGATTGATGGCAAGCTTGGGGGAAATTTGTTACCCGGCGTCCAGGGTAGCCAGCAAGAGGCCATCCAATTGGCCATTTTGTATGTTTTTGCAGCAATGTGTATTCTTGCTCCATAGCATACTTATTTTGTTTAAACTGAATGTACATGCAATAATCCCTTATAAATCAGCCAATCAAAGGAATAAACTGAAGGTTCTTGTAATTTGAAATTCAGAACATACCAGGGTTCTTCAGCAATAACATCAGGGTGGCTGAATATTTTTGCTGCATTATGTCTCTTATTTGTTCGTATTGGTTCACCAGCTGAACTGTAGGTATCACATATATATCACCGCATCTCATATATAAGTTAAATAATGAACTAAAAAGTGATATCTAGCAATTTTGAAATTATATATCATATGGAATCAAGATCTACTTACACATAAGTCTTCTTAAATTTTCAACCATTGACTATTTTAGGTTATATTACTCAAAATATAACATTGCGTACCATTTTTAACAATTGGATTTGAAAATTAACAGAATAATGTTATGTTAGACTTGCACATGTATAAGTGGGCCTTGACTCAATTTCCTAACTGAATAACATAAACGGCACATGCACATACCAGGATATTGTTGCCCCCTCTGAATGGGTCCTTAAACATTGCTTGGGGGCTTTTAAAGGAACCAAAAGAAAAGAAAAGGTAAATACATCCATCAAGCAAATTGCATGAAATGGGTGGGATAGTAAAAGGAAGAGTTACCCTCCTATAAGATAACTTCACTGTCTTCGCCAGGGGCTTGACCAGTGCTGGAACCATCATGGCTCCATTTTGGCAGCTTCAGAGGATCATTCACTCTCCCGGGATGTTCTGCTCCATGAATGAAAATCTTGAACTTATAGCGAATAAGTTGAAGAATAATTGTAAGTATGAAGAAGAAGGAAACACACAGAGAAAATAGGTTACCCTTGCTTTGCTTCTTAGTCCATGCCAGATCCACCAACCCTGTTCCATCATTGATTACACATAAATAAATCAATTTCACCCATTTCCCATAATACATAAATACAAGATAATTCACCTAAATTTAGCACAAATTACAAGAAAATGCAACAAAATCAAAGAAAAACCTAGAAATAAACTTGCATTTGCGAGAGTCAAATTCACAAAAGTTGTGGGACCATTAGACCAGAGGCCTCATTAGCAAGAATTGAATGCTCTTCATGGTTATGAATTGAATTTAATTTGAGGTTTCAGGTTCTCTGTCTTACTACCATTACCATTATGCTAAGGCATGAGAATTGAATTTAGTACTTAATTTTTCTTAAAATGTTAGTAGTTTTATTGATCTCATTCATAATACTAAACACACCTTACAGAAAAGAAGACCTAAAGCGGAAAGAAAGAAGAGGAGATCATTGACTGAAAAAGGTGATTAACTCTTGTCTTTTCATTATCATTTTATAAATATTTTAAGGGTTTGTTTAAT